TATGGTTTATGGGGTCACGAAGAGTCGGACACGACTTAACGACTGAACAACAACAACAACATACAAGCTAGTATCTCTAACCTAGAGGCTTCCTTGAAAGCCAACATACTCTACTGAAATGCACAAGAAAAATTGGGTGAATAATTTCTCCATATTTCTCCAAGTGAAGAAAAAAACTCTCTAACCATAAATCAAGAGCAGGAGCGTCCCTTTGTAGTAACAGCAGCAGTTACTGAAAAAGGCCCATGAGAATTCCCCCCTCCCCCATACCTTCCCTCAGGATTTAACTGGAAAGTAGGAAGCCAGGGAGACTGCAGGCAACTTAGGAGATGATTGTTCAAGAAACCCAGAACATTCACATACAACACTGCTGATTTTTGTAAGCAGCATTAATCATCAGCTGATTTTCAGTGCACTATATATGCTACTTGATCATAATTGCAGATGTGGCCTCCTATGTGTTGACTAATAATGGGAACTCAGGAAGTTGGACAGAAAGATGCTTGCTACATGACTCGTTTCAGGAGCTGGAGATGCCTGATATAATAGATAAAGTGTGTCCTCTACTACAGAATGATGTTCATCCCCATTTAATGCCCAGGTAAACTAGATGAGTAAGACATGATTTCTGACAATGTCTTATTTTTTTGAACAGGCAGAGACCTTCCATGTAGATTTGTTGCAGCACATGGAGAAAAACACCAAGCTGGATGTACAGTTCATTAATGTAAGAGTCAGACTGATCCTGGCCTGTTTTTTCTTATCTTCCTCTCCTTATTCTCTACTTGGCCACCACTGCAGATACTGTGTCCCTTGCATTATTCTTGTCTTTTACAAGCTGCTCCGTATACCTATTATAACAAACAAGCTATTGTTCATGAACCACATAGAGCATGCTCATCTGGGCACATAATGACTGGTGTTTGACATTAGATGCCCAGACAATCTAACCAGCCTTTATAGCTAGCACCATATTTATGCTACTTGTGCACATACTAATTGCTGCCATTAATTAATGACTGTGTGCAGGGATCTGGGGTATTTTTTCTTCTTGAGTCCAGAGTAAATATTTCATTTGTTTATTTTAAACATGTTCACTTGTAGGATAGTCGCCAACGATATGAGAAGGAATACCGGCGCAGAATAGCCAGCATAGATAAATGCATGATGGATCTGCGGAGAATGGAGAAGAGTCGAGAGAAGAATGCCTGGGAGATGAAGGTGGGAAGCAGGCTGGCTGGGTCTGGTGGGAAGCTGAGGAAGGCTAGAGTTGAGGGTCCAGCTGTGGCAAAAAACAGTGGAGTAATTCCAGAATGTTGGATTACTATGGAGAGATTTTGGTTTAAATCCCTACATCCATAAAGTGCCCAGGATGGATATATCCCTATAGGAAACTTTAGTGACTCCAAATTTCTTAGCCAAATTTGTTTCCTGAGGGTTTTTTTTTTCTTGGTTCTTTCTTTTAAAAAAATAAAAAGAAAGGATCTTCTTAGTTGCCCTGAGTTTTTTGGAGAAACGGTAGAATGCAAATGTATATTAATATGTATCTATATCTGTCTCCAATTTCCCATAAGGATGGTTCTTACATAATTTATACCAGAGGGATCCACAGGAGGGGTCCAAAAAATCAAGATGGTAGCTGCAACTGTATTATCATTTTTGTGTGTATGTTACTCGCAGTCACCATCTTGACTTTGGACACCTCCACTGTGGATACTACTGTGTCCTACCCTTGCAGGCTGTTCCCTATGAGGCAAAACATCAGGCAATGTAATGGACTGTGAGAATAACCTTGGGAGGCAGGAGGAAGACCCATAGCCTAGACAGTGGTCTGATAAACGAAATCTGAATCCAAAGGAGGGATGGGGTGGAGAAAGTGTCTCAGAAGGGGCCCTCCCTAATTCTCTGGAAAGCAAAAGCAAGGGAGGGGAAAGTGCTTTCAGACTTGCAAAATTCTGTTACTGTTACCCTACAATAAAGGTAGTGTTAGTACTCATGGTTTTGGTTTCCTGTCTGTCTGGACTACCTCAGAGGGCTGACATGCTGCTTCTTGATTTGTGTGACTTTTATTCCCAGTGGTTGCAAGGTATTTTTCAAAGCTCATTCTTGTAGGCCGAAAATGGAATTTGAGAACCAGTTGGTGTAGTGGTTAAGGCACCAGGCTAGAAACTGGGAGGCCATGAGTTCTTGTCCTGCCTTAGACACGAAGCCTGCTGGGTGATCTTGGGCCAGTCACTCTCTCCCAGCCCTAGGAAGGAGGCAAGGGCAAACCACTTCTGAAAAACCTGGCCAAGAAAACTGCAGGGACTAGTCTAGGTAGTCACCAGGAGTCAAGACTGACTTGAAGGCACCAAAAAAAAAAAAATGGAATTAACCTTACATTGCAATGATTCAGTGACTGCTGTGTAGGCCCAGCCAACTGTAAGGACTCCAAACACCTGGGATCTGGAAGTGACATTCCCTATTTGACATGTTGACAGGGATCTTTTCTCTCCACCCCCTCTCTTTCCTTGACTCCAGGATAACATGATGCGCTTGAATACCGAGATGCAAGTTTTCATCACTGAGAGCCAACAGGCTGCTGAACTGGAGGAGAAGCGCCGGTATCGCTTCTTGGCTGAGAAGCAGCAGTTATTCTCCAATACCCTTCTCCAGTTCTACACCAAAGTAAGGAGCAGTGGAGGCAGATACAGCATGGGGAAGAGGTAGAGTCAACTGTGTGCATTGGCATAGCTTGGTTTTGATGGGAGCATTTATAGCCTGCCTTTCTGCCCCTAGGGCACGTGAGACTGCAACAGGGATGTTGCATGGGGATCAAAAAAGTCAAGATGACCGTAACCATGTCATCAATATACGCCCCCTTTTAATATCACCCTGCTCCTCCCTGGGAAACCTTTGCACACTTTAAAACAGTATTTCTCAACCTCAGCAACTTTAAGATAGGTGGACTTCAACTCCCAGAATTCTGGGAGTTGAAGTCCACACATCATAAAGTTGCTGAGGGTGTGAAATACGGTTTTAAAAGAACAAGCTTGCGTTTCAAATGTGTTCTTTTGGCCTGAGTCTGGGTTTGTTTTTGTTTTCATTTTAGAAAACGTACTTCTGTATCTTTTAAATCTTCTACAGCTTTTTACAATTACATTCAGCATGAAATCTCTTTTCTTAGCCTGGCTAAAACTGTGTGAAGTATGTCTCTTCCCTTTCTTCACACCATGTACAGTGGTACCTCGGTTCACGAACTTAATTCGTTCCACGATTCTGGTTGCGAACCGAATCAAATTTCCCCATAAGGTTCAGTGTAAATAAGGTTAATCCGTTCTGAACCATATGTTTTTTTTTTTTAACCACAAAAATATGAAACAAAGTACAGGCGATCTCACCTAGAGGAAGGCCCGACCACGTGTCAGAGCAGGGAAGATGGCCACAGGTCGTGTTCGTCACCCGATGCGGAGTTCACGAACAGAAGCAAACTTTTGCGAATGCTGCTGTTCGTGAACCGAACTGTTCGTGAACAGAAGCGTTCGTGAACTGAGGTATTATTGTAATGTTCTAAATTAATTTGCTTCTGTAGGCTCGGACCCTCATCCTGAACAAGGCACCACTGTGGAAAGAGGAATTGGAGGCCTCCCACAATCCTGTGCAGAATGTGCTCAACACCCCACCCAGCCAGAGACACTCATCTGGCCGCCTTACTCCTACTCACTTTGACAAAGTAAGAGAAAGTGGAGTAACACAGGAGCTCTGGGTAGGGAGGAGGCTTCAAATGAATGACCTTTGGGGTAGAATTAGCAAGGACTGGCGTTAACACCACACCACAACAATTTGGATAATTCCCAAAGCTCTGTATATGCATTTGCTTTTTGTGAACCTACTTTCGCTCCAGTTCTCTTCACCTACTGCAGATCAGAAGCACCTGGATCTGTTTTTATCCATATGCCAGCAAGTCTGCAATTCATAGACAGCACCGTCATCCAATTCACACTCAGTTCAGTTTAGCCAACAGAGGACAGAGCCTCTGTTGAATCAGCCAACTGGAGACTCAGCCAACCAGTGCTCATTCTGCCTACCTCAAACATGATGCTTGTCAAATTTATTGTCCTCCCTACTTTCTGTGTAATGATAAACAACAAAAAGTCAAACCAAAGCTTAAGGAAAGGCAAAAGGAGCTTCAAGCACTCATCTCTCCTGCAGTCCGTGAATTTGCCCCCATGCGTTTGGGTGCATATATTTTGTGAGTGCAGTTGGGCAGATTGCTTTGGGAACCTTTGTCTGCCTCAGTTCCTGCTGGCTTTTCATCACTGCCAGCAAACGGTGCACGGTGGCTTTCATATGACTACAACACCACTTCAAGGCTTATTCCCGGGCTTGCTGGGACTGAGAGAAACATGAACTGTGAAGTGGAGGTGGAGGTGGTGAGCCCAGTCAGAAATCAGGTGCCTTCGGATACTGGAAGAATGCACGTTCATATATGGTGGAAGTGAGAGGCGGTTGAAAGAAGTGCTGAGGAACCAGAATCTTTGAGGATTAACTAATCTTTTGCATCGGGAGACATGCACTGGCTGGAGACTTAAAAAGAAGGAGATAGCCCTTGAAGCCTTCATTGATCTTATGTGCGGTTTTATTGGCATATTTTAAGCTGATGGAAAGATGAAGACATCAAGCCAAATGATCGCTGGGCTAATCTAAATGCTTTGAATGTTTTAGATATAGAAAATAGAAAAGGTGGCTTGGGGAAAGCATGATACATGAAAGCATGATACATTATGGTTGGTGCTCTCAGAGGAGGGGACTATGGATGAATCTCTTGTGCAACTTGTATCCAGCAAGGAGGAAACACGCTTTAAAAGTTCATTTATGCTCTCCTGAAGTATCTACCCCTAGTGTGTAGACTCTGTAGCCTTCCAGATTTTGTTAGACTATTGCTTTTTTTCAGCTTCAACCAATATGGCCAGTGGTTAAGAATAATACTGTAGGAGTGCATGGTAACTCCACAGCATCTGAAAAACTAAAATCTACTAAGCCTAAATTGTTTTTGTAAGATATTAGATACAAAGCAAACACTTTTTTTTTTTTTTTTTGGTGAGAAATGAGGCTTTTCCTGCTTTTCAGTATCTTTTTAACCGCACAGATTGTTGCACAGGAACTCAGTTGACAGGAGACAGAAATATAAAGAAGTTAATTAGGCAGGTGTTATATGCATATTGCTCTGATAGCATACACATTTTATATTCATTTATAGTTTTTTCCATTGGGATGTGGTGGGAGGAGAGATATATAATGCATGCACCGAAATGCTGTTGATGCTCCTGGGCTTCATGACAGGTCTTCGTTCTTTCCCAAATATATATAATTTATAAATGTAGCTTTTAGACAAACAAATGGATTACCTTTCTGCACACAGAGCCCTGTTTATTATTAACTAGTAAGTTTACTATTGTACAAGCTCATTTTACTTAGATTATATTTAGACTACCAAGTAGCAACTGTTTCTACAGCAATAAAGGGGTGAGCAAAACCATTTTATAGTTTGTCACTTGGTGACACTGGATTGAGCCATATCCTAGTAGAGTTAGGAGTTTCCTGTACTGAGAGAAACAATAATATTCATATCCTGTTTCCTGATTGGTCCACCTTCTAAATCTTACTTACTATATATGACTGTGCATCCTGATTTTCTATCTTGTCATTTGTCTAAGGTTGTAGAATTGTTAGGAAAAAATGTAGGGAATTTATTTTCCCAGCACTAATGGAAAAGTGGGAACATTTGCAAGCATAAGGGAAATGGTGGGCCTGAACTTCCTAGCCCAGACTGACAGAAGATATGGCAATCGTGTGTGTAAGAGCGTATCAATTGCTGCAATGGGACTTGTCTTCTAGAACCCTTCACTCCTGCTCTCCTCCTTTTGGTACAGTTTCAGAGGCCTCCAAGTGATTTTGGTTCACTTATGGCAGGACAGAGCTCCAGCCTCTTCTCCCAGGAGACTCTACGGATGTTGCCAACCTCTCAGCCAGAAACAAAAAGGAAACCAATGCCAAGAACTCCTTCCGTTGGTAAGATTGTAAAGGAATAATGTAGGGACAGATTAAGAATCTCTGCTAAGACACATTTGCTAGAGATGCCTGTGACAAGTGAAACACGAATGTGTATGTTTATTCTGAGCAGTGCTAGAATTTGGGCTGAATCCTGAAAAAGCCATCTTCAGCCCCCCAGGGAGTTGTGACACATCTCTTGGGTCAGTCAGTGTGTCACAATGTAGATTACCTTACAGCATTATTGTGAGAATCAAATAAAACAGTTTGGGGTTATGTAAAAATGAATATAAATAAAGCAATTATGACAAATTAATTGTACTTACAGAGAGAGTAAGTACAGAACAGAGATCCAAAACAATTTTGCCCCAGGTGGCACACTTTGTGAATCAGTCAGTATGGAGTTTGGCTCACTTCGGTAGCGGCAGCAGGATCTTGTAGCGGCAGAATAACCTGACAAAGAGGTTTGGTCTCTTTGTTGTAAATTACAGGCTCAGCCTCCCCTGGCCTTTCTCGCTCCAGCTCCTTTGGAGAGCAAGCAGCACGAAGGACAGATGCTGCTGGTAAAGAGGGAAACAGCAGCAGTCTGCAGAGGGTGCAAGCAATTGTGTCTCATGTCGCGGGTTCAAACCAGACGCTTTTGCAATTCAGTGCTGGAGACGTGGTCACTGTGCTGATACCAGAAGCTCAGAACGGTTGGCTGTACGGCAAGGTGGAAGGTACATCAATGTAAGTCTGCTCAGATCTATTTCTGTCAAACGGGGTTGGACGGCAGACAGTGGGCCCTGCAAACTTTGATGCGGCTCCCAGATCTTCTCACAAGGTTGCCACCACACAGTGATTGGTAATGGGTCAGAAGGGTGAAATTATTAAAGGCATTTACATTGTTCATGCTTTATTTAAACAATTTGTGTTTTTGTATGGAAAACAGTGGTGACTCAAATGATGTAAAAAAAAATCCTGGAAATTTATATGATTAAAAAATTCCAAAAGCTTTGCTCAAAAGTTGTTCTTCTTGCCCTCTGTCAAGAAAAGACTAATTCAAAATTTTGTTTTAGAAATCATGTATGTAACACAGGTATAGATTTGTCATTTCAGCATTGCATAATAATGTAGTACATAAAGAAGAGGAATATCAGCTTTATTTATGTAATTCAGTTTTAATTAAATGTAAATTTACATCTCATTTGTCCTGGTTCCACATAAAAAGTGACTTCTGCCCTGTGCTTTTGATTTCAGGAGTGGCTGGTTTCCTGAAGCTTTTGTAAAGTCTTTTCAGGAGTCAACCTCCAGGTAATACAAACCTGAATTGTATCAGTGGTGAAGTTTAAGAGACACACTAAGTAAAGAAAACTTGGCTAATGAGCGTGAACGTATAGCCATCATATCTCATATCATGGGCTGCTGTATCACTTCAATCTGAAGTTGCCACGATGTTGAGTTGGCACAAAATGGAATTTGTAACTAAGCCCATTTCAGAAGCCAGCCTGTGCAAAGTAACATTCACTCCAGATTGAGACAAGACAGTAAGCCTCAAATTGTGGCTAAAATGTAGTGTGGGACAGGAGATAAACTGGAAAGGGTTTGACCAACATAGAGTATTATGGAACCTCAGCCTAATACTGGAAATGTCCAGGTTCAAATCTCCCCTCAGTCCTAAAACTCATTTCCAACTGCCAATTACTGCATATTAACTTAACTTACCCTACAAAACTTTTGTGATGATACAATAAGGGAGTAGGGGAAGGGAAATATGTATTTCACAATTAAGTGGCAGGATTTTTGGAGGTCAAGACTAAATAAAATAGCATGTTTACTCATTTCTCCCCTTTCTTGCTTAGAGGTTTCCCCCTGAGGAGCAGTCATAGTGTGGACAATCTTCTAGATCAGTCTACTTCTCCAGTGCCAGATAATTATTGGCAGAAATCCAGCAGGCCTCACTCTCCAGTCCCTTCTCCAGCTTTGGTGCGAGCAGGCAGCCTTCAAAACAGCAAAGTTAATGCTACAAGTCCCAGCATGGACTCCAAGGTAAAGGTTTATACTAATGAGTAGGTATTTGAGGAACTTATTCACAGATCAGTAGATTTGGATTGATGATAGCTTGCATCCTGAACCTGGCTTTCCAAATGGGTTCAGGAATGCATCCTGGTTGGAAACCCTGGCAGTTTTGGCCCCCGACACCAGGTTGGAGAAGCATATTCTACAGAGATCTTTCTAACATTGTTTGGTTGAAGAGCTGGCTCGTGTTCAGGTCATATGATTTTCTGTCTTTACTGAAAATGTGCTAGAACCAATTTAGCTGCAGCTGTACTGTAAGTAAGGTATCCACCACATGATTAGCCCTCTTTATTAGAACCACAAAAGTATGGAAAGAAAACCCAATCTGGGCAACATTTTTGAATTGGGCTAAGTAGAAGTGGGCGTTTTAGCAACCATTGTATTGTAAGAATTAGTCTCCTACTGTTTTCTTCTCCCTCCAGCAGCAAACAGCTCTGTGGGTAGCTTGGTGATGATTGTGGGGCTGAGTAGGGCAGGTATTGTGAGCAAGAATGTTCTCCCACCTGGGGACAAATAGCTTGTGACAGGAAACGTTTTCACTGTCCCTTCCTTGTGCTCTCCTACAGGAAGAAGCTGGTGGATAAGGCAGCCAGAACATTTCCTGAGCATCCCATATTAGCCTTCTTATTTGAGATCTTTAAATGTACAAGTAGAAATTAGGCCACATATCAGGGAATGGCGATGCATGTTTAATAGAGTTTGGTGTGTAAAAATAGTTATTCATCTATTGTACATGGCACGCCAGACTGTCCTGGAGTGAAAGTGGGGCAATAATGTAAGCATCCAGTACTTCCAGAATGTCAGGGCACAGCAAGCTATGCTTGATCATACCCCAAAGGCTGTAAAGTGGTATTACACCATATCCTTTTTTTAAATATTATTTTTATGGAAACTTAAAAAAAAAGAAAAGAAAAGCTAATACAAACTAATATAAAGTAAGGAAGAAAAAAGGAAAAGAAAGAAATCAAAGAGAAAGCAAGAAGTGCAAGAAAAGAAAGAAAAGTTGAAGAAAAATAGAAAAGAAAGAAAAAAGATACAAAGAAGGGGCTTCCAATATTCTTCCCAGCAGTTATAAGTACATTTATATTTTAACCTCTCTCTCTAAAGTTACATCATCATACTCTTCTTTCTATAACCTATCCTGTCTAATCATCAAAGCCGTAAATCACACGTTCGTTTTTTTTTCATTTTGTATGCAAAAAGTCCATAAGAAGTTTCCAGTCACCAATACATGTAGATAGTGTCCTTTCTCTAATCAAAGAAGTTAATTTGTCCATCTCAGCAAAATTTGTCAGTTTCACCAACCATTCCTCCATAGTGGGTAGTGCTGAATTTTTCCATCTCTGGTATTACACCAACTCCTCAGTTGTATGCCCGCCACTAAACTCCTAGACCAGGCTGAGGAGAGATACTGCTATGGGTATATGATATCCAATTAGATTATGGACCCCACAAATTGAGGCAAAGAGAATAACTGCCCTAAAGTAATACTTTTTAATATGAGCTCTTTATTGGGCCCATTGCACTGAGGACAATTAATATGGGCATTTATTGAAAATGCAATTAGTACTTGCAGGGAGAAACCC